GGAGCCAGTGGCAGAACTACCAGGATTGCAGCATTTGCAACTGTGACTGGGCCCTGGCACTTCACCACTGTCCTAAAATCATTAGTCTATATTGTTTTAGAAAAACTGTCACATGACACTAAAAAAATATTGGTAATTGGTATCGTACTTGTGGGAAAGTATCAGTATTTGTGCTCGGTCTCGAAGAAAATGGTATCAGGGCATCCCTAGAGCAAAAAAAAATGTTCTTAATATATATATATATATTGATTAATCGTTAAAATTTTTGATCGCTAATGAAAACACTCACCTCTCCGCCGGCTTCCGGTCCCGTCAGAGATCCGGTGACTTCACGGACAAAGAACGTCACCGGACTCCTCACCCCTTCCGCCAGTGGCACCGTTGGCTAACAAAGGGATGGGGGGTAGAGTCCGGTGACGTAGATGTCCGTGACGGCTAACGAAGGGAAGGGGGAGGAGTCCGGAGACGTCGATTTCCGTGATGTCACCTGACTCCTCCCCCCTTCCCTTCGTTAGCCGACGGAGCCACTTGGGCCAGTGAGTTTGCCCAAGAAACTTGTTCTGCCCTATCAATTTTTAAATAGGTTATACTTACATGTAAAGGGAACATCACTGTGCAGCCTGACAATTGACATCGAACCTTTCTTCTACAATCTTCCCAGCTGGCCAGTGTGCCCACAAGTGTGGACCAAACTCCAAGGCATTGGCCTATACACATACAGCACAGCAATGAAGTAATAAAATGAACTAGGATCACACGAATCCAGCACGTTATTATTCTGAGTTGCCCCACTCAAGCGGCGGCCATATTGAGTGGGGCATGTGAGATTAATAACGTGCTGTATTAGTGTGATCCTAGTTCATTTTATTACTTCATTGCTGTGCTGTATGTGTATAGGCCAATGTAGTTGGATTTGTATGTGCGTATGTAACGCTCCAAGCTCACTTCCGTGATGGACTATAATCTCACGTTTAGTTTGCTCATTTGTATTGTGATTGTAGTCCATCACAGAAGTGAGCTTAGAGTTGTTCTTTACAACACACACAGGGACCATGAGGAACAAAAGTAGCCACCCTCCAGAAGGAAGGACAGTGTCAATATGAATCCAGAGATAATTTGAGGATCTACAGCTACATTTTTGTTAATATTTATGGTGCTTGAATGCATTTTTACAAATTTAACTTCTGAGTTTAGTGTCACTTTAAACCCACAGCATGTCACATGTTTCCCCTTGGCTCTTATGTAATCCTATTTTTGCTTTTGTGTTAGACTAGAGCCTGAACAATTTAATAGTTACAGCTTCTGTACTGCAGTGGCTGTGGATTGTCCATGTTGTAATACTATAGTGTACTCTATAAAAGCTAGATTGCTATAAACACAGACTACACCTATGCACCAGCGGATCATTTATTGTCTGTATTTTTTTTTCTTCAGTCTGTGTAGGTTTGGTTATACGTGAATGATAATAGAGCCCTCTGCCGGGCAATGGCTGCCCTGGCTGCACATGTTAGGGAGGCTACAATGATTAGTGGCACAGGTAGCTGCTGTCAGCTGCTCCCCCGGCTGTCACTATCTTTAGTTCTTAATTGTGTAATCAGGGCGCACAGCAGAGGGAGGGGCTGCTCTCTAATCTGTTATTCCAGCTTCTGAATAATCATACTCCCAATTCACTGTATCTACCTCCCTTCCTGTCAGGCTCTCTGATTGGGGGTAGAGAGGCAGGGGATCTACATTGTACCTTTCAATTAGCCCCTTCCATTTGGAAAGGGATGAATGATTAGTCAGCCATGTACAATGAGGATGTACCGGATGAATGTATCTGTGAAGGAGTGAATGCTATCTTACGCTATCCTGACAGGACATCATTTATTTAATCTTGTAGGACTATTATATATGTATTAGATCTTTCTTAAGCTGGCAAAAGCCACAGGTATACTGACATAACATGAGAAACTGCAGCTGTAAAACTTAGAGATGAGCAAAATGATTTACACACAAATGCAAATTGGTAAAATCTGATGCTTTCCAAGCAAATTGGATAAAATGCTCAATCTCCTTAGACTATGTAATCCTTAGTATGTTTATGTCAATTAGTGCAATCATAGCATGATCATGCAGACATTTACTCGTATTTTGAAGTGAATCAGGGAGCTGCAATTTGCATTTATTCTCTTGATTTTCTGCAAGTTAGATCTTTTACCTTTTTTTTATTAGGAACACAGAAGTGTTGATTTGAAGGCAAATAGGCTGTTCTCTTTGCAAGGCAAGTTACCCTACTTTAGTGAATGTGGTGACAATTCGCTTTGCAAGGAATGCCTAATCAGCTACGTGAAAACATGTTTTTTCTTATACATGAAGTATACATGAAGTCAGCAGAGTATCACCTCATTCACTAAGCTAAGTGAACATTCCTTTGCAAAGTTAATGGTCTATTTCCTTCAGTAAATAAACTCCACAGTATCTGAAGTGAAGAGTTCTTTCTCCAACATGTGTACAGTGATAGATCCTCCTTTGCACAGAAAAATAAATTATGTTTTGTGACATTGGGGGACCATTTACACCATGCAGCAGTCCCAACCCATAGACAAGACAAACTGCTTTATGTCCTATTAGTTCAGTTAAGTGCACGGAAAAAAAGTAGGACATGCAGGTTTTTTTTTTCACCACAGCGAGTTGCGTTTCACTCCACTGTTGTCGCAATGCACTGCCGTGTATAAACATGAATGAAATGCCATTTTGTCACTACTCAATAAAGTTGAAAAAAATAGTGTGATGCGTCATTTACAAAGCATACATGTAGTCAAGAACCAGCTGCACTCCTTACCGGAATAGTAGGTAACCTGCCAAGCAGGTGGGTGCTTGTAGTGACCACGGACGGCCCCGTGAACAATGCAGATCTAGAAAGGATTGTCACCAGCACACCAAAAGTTTTGAAGCAATAAGTCCTTTATTGACAAATCGCCATCCAGTGGGATGTGCATGCCAGCATCCTGTACCTTAGGCAACCAGCTGATGTTACTTCCAGCTAACGGCCATATCATTACAACTCGCTGTGTACATTAGTGGATTACAGGTGAGCCTCATTTGAGTGCAGAATGTGGGGAATATATGGTTTTCCAGCTGCAACTGGTGGGAGTGGTCTGTTTTTAATATGCACTGGTATGTCTATTTAAAGGTGATGGCTTGCTTTACTGTGTCATTCTGAGCCTGATGAAGGGGTACTGCTGAGACCCCGAAAGCGCTTGTATTGGATGGCGATTTGTCAATAAAGGACTTTTTGCTTCAAAACGTTTGGTGTGCTGGTGACAATCCTTTCTAGATTTACAAAGCATAGGCACATATACAGGTACTTTACAGCACACACCAGCAGCCACTGGTGTGAACAAACCCTGAGAGATTTTCAACATGTTGGAAAATGTTTGCTTACTAATCTTGTAGCTTTTGCATTTCTCTACATTGCTTTTGCTCTAATTTGATAGGCTGATGTCAGATAGGCGATTCAATTACCTATTGCCAGTGGCAGAATCACCAAGAAAGCAACCACCCTAATGGGTGTCACTCTATGACTTCAATTCATAAACCTTTACGCAAGAATAAGGATCTTTATTTCTGGCCACGTTTCTGGTCATTTTGAAATTTTATTGGACTCAAAGGAAAAAGATTGTCACTGTTTTGAGAATAAGTATCCTTATTCTGGTATTGTAGCTTTGTAAAAAGGAGCGTTATCTGTGGCTTGGAATGCTGTAGACTCCTGGAGAAACAAGTAGCTGGCCGGATGTGAGAAGGTAGAGTATTATAGGGATAGGTATCTGATCTCTCCTACAGTTGTTGATGATAAAAATCTCATGTGATTTACGCAATCAGTTTCAACTGGTGTTGCTCATTTAATATTCTAAACTGCCTGTTACTTCCTAGATGTCCTTTATTAAAGTGAAACTCCAACAAATAGGACATGAACGTGATATGAAATCTGCCCAATAATTTTGAATGTTGTGATCCCACTGCAAGATTGATTGATGATAACTATATCTGAGTGAGGGTAGATCTCCCTAATGGGGACAGAGCAATAAAAATGTAACTCAGAACCCTCCTGCACTGTATTGTAAACTCAAAAAAATTGGCTACAGATTAAAGTTAACACCTACTTTCCCTAACTACTGCTAGCAATGTTACTGCAGAAAACTGGGTTTAGTATGGCCAGCATTAATCTCATGTCTATCATACTGTGAGAATATGAATGCACTAACATATTGGTTGTGACACTTGTGGAGGAATATTTGCTTCATGTTATGTTTTCAACACATTGTAGTTAGCACAAATATAAAACATCTTTATGTATGTTATGCTATTTTAAATGTGACACTGATGTTTTTATTTTCTATTCAGAAGTTTTCTCATTGTGACTGTGTTCTCCTGTGCAGTACAGTGATATAACTTATTTTTACCCAGTCTCTTTCAGAAGGTCTCACGCTGCTTGGCAGTGATCCAGGTCACCCCCTACTTCCTTCCTTTTATCTCCACTCCAACCCCTTCACTGATGTCTACAATGAACACTCACATGGATTAAAAAAAAAAAAAACAAGATAAAAAACATTTTTAGGATGCACACAATCACATCAATACTATCCTAATCCAGTGAGGCATTTTTTTAGTTTTGCACAGTTATTTCCCTGAGGCAAATTAAGATTGTATCACACTTTCTAGGTACAGCTGTTGCTGCCTTAAGGAAGCTGTTAATCGAAGAGGGCACACTGAGCACTACCTTTGAACAAAGTCAAATAAGATCCTGCAGCTTTTCAGAGAAGTAAAATATATTTTAGTCTCTTAGACATCCTAGGCAGAACATCTGTGTAGCATGACTAATTTACAGAGTATTGGTTACTTCAATCGGCGATAACAAGAACTGCCAGACCAGAGGATGTAGCTGCTGTGCAATCAATAGACTGAAAGCTGAAAATTGGGCCTTTCTTCATATCCTCCTTCCTCTTTATCTTCTATAGGGTGAAGGCTAAGAAAGGAATAAATCTGCAGAACACCAGGTCTCGGGATCCACAGTGGTTTGTCAACTCAGAGCTTCTGACGGGAGGGAAACATTCAACAGCCACCATAGATGTGTCAAAGGTTCAAGGGTTGCCGCACAGGTATACTATTATTTAATCTCTATTCAGCACACTCTGTAAATGTACTGCTTAATTGTTGGACACATTAATATTTATTGAATCCAATTAAACTCTGCACATTTTTTATTAAAATAAGTAGAGAAAGAACTATACAAATGACCAGAGCACAGATGTCTGCCTGTGAAATTAACCAAAGAGATAAAGCACTCAATGCCTTCTTAATAAAAAAAATAATTAAAATCAGTAAACAATACCTAATTGTACTGTTTTCTACAAAAAAAAAGAAGAAACCCATCATCAGTAGAAACAATTACCAGATATCCTAGATCTCACTTAAAGTTAGCACACACTTCTCTCATAGATTCTGGAAATCTGTCAGGCCAAAAGAGATTGTATTGTCTTATAGTATTTTCTGTCTCATCTAAAACAATGCTATAGCAGTGTAAAAATAGCATGAAATACAGCGAATAGCTCTGCAATATCCATTCAAATAGTTGCAGACAGTATAGGGCAGACAGACATGCAGGTACGATATAATTCCCTTTAGCTATATTTATTTTAACATATGGAGCAGCAGTGCTGGTGTTGCAGAGAATTGGCCTGGGCAATAGCCCAGAACCCTCACCCTCTCTGGAGCCCCGGTTGGCAGAATGGCAGCAAGTGAAAGGAGCTAGAATACTATGCTTATGGAGACCTCAGTTTATATGTGCCAGGGCCCAGTTTTGTCTAAATCCAGCCCCATGGAACAGGGCAGCGGAGGGCCACTGCAGACAACTCCCAAATTGGCCTAACAGATAAAAACAAAAGTAAACTCATAAGGTTTTTTAAATAGTATTTCCCCCAGTATATTACAGTGTCAATGTCTCTAGAATAGTTTAAGCTCTAATGTTAGCTCCACAGTACCCTTTAATTTTACTTATTGCTTGGATTGCCTCTTTATTCTGGTCCAGTGATGAATGATGCACAATGTTTCACTTTTAGCAGCCATGCTTTGAGGACATTCAACATGCTTGCTCCATACATAGGTTAACTACAAATGTGCTCACCTGAACAGGTTGGATGCTTGAAAAAGGCTGTTCGGCAAAACAAAGACCACACAGAACAAGGAATATATTAAGAGATAACTAACGGTGCCAAAGAGTGAACAAACTAATTTGCAGTTCAAAGCCATATGTCTAAAACTTTGCAGGTTTGTATGAGAGCAGGAACAGAGAGCAGAAATCAGAGTCTGAGATCATAGCAAGAGCAAACCACAGACAAAACGAGGGCAAGGAACATGAGATAAGGTTAAGAGCCAGGTGAAGACATGCAAAGTAAAACTACGCAGAAGACTGGAGACAAATGAGGCAGCATTGAGAGCCAGAAAAGACCCACAGAAAGCAGATATCAGGTTTTTTTTTCTGTTGGCCGAAATTCAGCATTGTGGTATGCAAAATAGTAGTTAAATAATGAAAGAGTTTAGTTTGGAGATTAGATTATATTTAAAGAATTAGGGGTTGGGGGAGAGATTAAGTGGTAAGAGCTTAATTTACAGATTCAGTTAAGCACTGGCGGTAATTCACACCAGCACAGCGGCTGGTGTGCGGTGCCCAACACAGTGCTGATGCGCCGATCCTGGCACATTGCACTGTGTACCTTTTTCTTTTTAGAACTTAATTGACATGTCCCAAGCGACATTTCATCACGTTCTATTGGCACAGTGGGATGCAAAACGGTTGTACTGCATCGCCTCCTGGTGGCCTTGAAAAAATGTAATGCATACCATATTTTTTTCCAGCGAGCACCACCGCAATACCCATGCATTATAGCAGTGTGAAAAGAGCCAATCCGTGACAAGCCAAATTACCTTGTCCTGCGTTGGGATTGCTCTGTAGAAAAGGGCCAGTGCAGCCTTAACGCATATGGTTTGAATGGGCCCTTAGTGTTGGTGGGGGGGAAGACTGACTATAAAGTGGCAAGTTAATGGTTAAATGTTTAGTATTGAGGTGGTTTAGGAGTAAGAATTATTGACTTGTTTTAAGCTCTAGGTTTGGTACTAAGTGTTTGGGTGACAGTGGTAGGGGCTTTTGCTTCTCAGGTAGTTTATTGTGAAATATGAGACAGTTAAAGTATTAATACTAGTTTCCTGCCTCAACTGGCATCTAGTGCTGAAAACAAATGCACCACAGGAAGCAAACCTAGAGCTAGACAAGGGCAAGGATTCCCAGGAATACTTTGGGAAAGTCATATAGAAAGAGCAAAAGGAAGAACAGGAACTAGACAGAATCAACATCACAGCACATCCTAGTGACAGGAACTACCATATACAGTAGACCTGTTGGCCCTTTGAAGTTAGCAGCCCAGATGTTGCACCAAAACATGTATGCCACATCAAGAGGCAAAAGAAGTTTGTGTTCACACGTGGATGACTATGGAGCTGTATATGACAGCCAGATATTGTGGTTGCCTTACAGATCAAGTTTACATTATGTAGTGAAACATATTACAGATCTCTGAGTACAATGTGCTTGGTACACCTGCAAACTTCACAACAGTTGCTTGAACTGTTGAACACTGAATAGCTTCCACTTTGTGGAGGTTAAAGTGACACTAAACTCAGGAGTTAAATCTTAAAAATGCATTTAAGTACCCTAACTAAAACCAGAAATGTATCTTATTTGTTCATCACTCAGCTGTAGATCCTCAAATCATCTCCGAATTTGTGCTGACACTTCCTTTCTTCCCTACCACTCCAGACTCACTTCCTTGATGGACTACAATCTCAGATTTACGGTGCCCACACACCTTACGATAATCGTATGATAATCGCGGGAAATCCCGCGATCGTACGATTATCGTAAGTTGTGTGGGAGCCGTGCGACCCCTGCTACTGTAAGGTCGCACGACTTTTACCTTAGGAAGGCTGGGCACACACCTTACAACCATCGCAAGACTTTTGTCTTGCGATGGTTGTAAGGTCATTAAAAAAGTGTACGATCTGCCTATCTTGCACAGGCAGATCGTACTTGCGATGATTGCAAGCCTGCCACGCTGAGGGGCAGGCTTCCGACGACCGCAATGCCGAACGGGCAGTGTGCGCTTGCGCACATCGGCCGTCCGGCTTTTATCTTAAGCACATGCTACACACCCGCTGAAAATCGTACGATTCTTGGTGGGTTTTTGAACATGTTCGTAAGATAAAAGTCGTGCGACCTTACAGTAGTAGATTATCGTACAATTATCGCAAGGTGTGTGGGCACCTGAACATGTTTGAAAACCAGCCGACCATCGTACGATGTTCGGCTGGTTTGTGGCATGTTCGCAAGATAAAAGCCGCACAGGCCGGTATGCGCAAGCGCACACTGCCCGTTCGGCATTGCGGTCATCGGAAAGCCCGCCCCGCTGAGGATCATCGCAAGTACGATCTGCCTGTCCAAGATATAGGATATTACATAGTTACATAGTTACATAGTTACATAGTATTTGAGGTTGAATAAAGACATTAGTCCATCAAGTCCAACCTATTAGGATGACGGGGTATTTTAGCACACAATAAATGTACCTACTTTCGAGGTACTTATCGTAAACATATTCATTCCAATAGGCTATTGGTAAAGCAGTAGTGATAGAGTTCATCATTTTATAGGATTGAGAAGCACTGTCATTAGACAGTCTAACTTTAAAAGTAACACCATTAAAAGAAACCTGTGCTGACGAAATATGAAGGCTGCCTGCTTGTCTTGTGTATCTAGTTGCTTTGCTACTATGTCTTTGACTTGGAACAAGTATGCAGATTTAGAGTTCTCACCTAACTCTGACTTTCCTGATCTATATGCTTGTTCCAGATCATTATCTGGATTTCAGAATGAGATCAGCAATAGCAGCATCAGTATTTCTTTTAGTTTCTGTTAAAATGACTTTGTATTTTTCTCATAAAATAACATTTTTAAATAAAATTACTTGTATCTTTGCACTTTAATAAAGAAGCCTCAGGTTCTCTTCACACTTGTGCTGTTGAAAACTGCAGGTATAAGCTACGGCCAGATCCTTCGGCTGCTTCGTGAATAGACCCCCTAGACTGTGATTTTCTGGACACATTTTATTGTTTTCAGGTCAGTGACTTAGACTAAGATCAAAGCCCAGGGGGTCAGTATGACAGCCAGACCCCTCTCAGATGGAAATCAGCAAAGGCAATCTGTATTTTTCTCATGACAGGATTCATTAATGTCACATTTATTTCTGGCAGTAATCTGGATTTAGATTTTAAAATGTGGATATAGTGGTAAATTCAGAATCCATCGCCTCCTGAGCAAATGAAGGCACAATAAAGCTGTAATTTTGAAAATATCTGAGGCTGCCCATTAATTGGCTATTATTGTTTAAGAATGATGGACATTTAGAGATATTCTATGCTTGTGGTGGCTGGCTGAACCCAACACAGTATTTTTGAAGAACAAGCACTTTAGCCGCTCGCCCATGCTTATTATTGGTTGCTTCTTAACCAACTCTTCTTGGCTCCATTGGTTACCTATATTGGAGAGTATATAGGTGGACAAACTACCTTTTATTATACTTCTTGTTCTGTTTGGAAAACTCTGTTGATTTTACTAACCATGCAGACAGCAGTTTCCACCTTTTAAATCCAAATGCTAAACAATCTTAAGAAATCTTAAAGTATATTTTAAATACAGGTCTGAGGAAGAAGAAAAGTGTAATTGCATTGAAATGTAAACCCCCCACAGGGAAGAGATCTAAAGCAGCGCACTTTTTTCATTCCATAAATATTTCATCAAGTTGTTTTCTGAAAAAAGGTGATTTTGATCACTTTAAATTCATTGTCTGTCTCTAACCTTTTAAAGCCGATTTCAATCTGCATTGAAAATGGCACGACAGAGCTTTAATACAGATGGGAAGAGATTTATACAGGCAGTCCCCGGGTTACGAACAAGATAGGGACTGTAGGTTTGTTATTAAGTTGAATTTGTATTTAGGTTGGAACAGGTAAATTTTTTAGGTGTAAATCCAGCCAAAAAAAAAAAAAT